CAAACAAAAAAAATAAAAGAGATTTGTTGGTTGCATGAGTATTCGTCCCAACCTCATGAGGCAGTACTTGATAGAACAACCTTGTGACTGTAATTAATGTAGAGAAGCTTTCAGATAAGCCTCAATCAATTTTGTACATATGAATCCTGTAATTTTCCCCATTATTGAAAGAATTGCGCTTATCTGTCAGTTTTTTATAGGTGAACAGCTGTTTTCAAGTTTTGCCAAAGATTCTCAATTGCATTAAAGTCTAGGCTTTAGGTGTGCCACTATGTGACATTCAGGTTTTTGATTTTAAACTGCTTCAGGTTAGGTTTGACTGTGTGTTAATAGAGCCATCATCCTCCTGGAAGGTGAACCACTGGCTTAAGGTGACCACACACTGCTCGATTCTCGTACGAGAATCGCGGGAAATCCCGCGATTTGTACGAGAATCGAGCAGTGTGAACGGAGACGTGCGACCGTTTCTACTGTACGGTCGCACGTCTTTTGTCTAAGGAGCACGCTAGAAAACCAGCCGAAAATCGTACAATTTTTCGGCTGGTTTGAACGGTGCTCGGGAGACAAATGCCGAACGGGCCGGTGTGCGCACGAGCACACTGCCCGTTCAGCATTGTGGTCATCGGAAGCCTGCCCCTCGGGGGCGGGCTTGCAATGATCGAGAGTACGATCTGCCTGTCCAAGATGGGCAGATCATACGTTTTTTTAATCACTTTACAACCATCGCAAGACTAATGTCTTGCGATGGTTGTACAGTGTATGGCCACCTTTTAGTGTTGGCTCACTTCAGACTGAAATAGTAATTTCTCTTGAATTGAACTGTTTGGCTCCATCCATTTCAGACCTCATTCTGACAGGTGACTCACTTCCAGTAAAATGCATACCCACAACATCATGTTGCCACCACCATACTTCAATATGGGTACATGGGTGTTCAGTGTTGCCTTTCCACCACACTTGCCATCTAACTAGTAGTAGTTAGTCACATTCAACTGGAATACAATTAGCTCCTCAGAACTGATGAGAAGCAAAACATCTTCAGCATTGCAGAACAAGTCCAGTTGAATGTGACTAACTGCTACTAGGCTTTAGCCACATTTTCATTGTCTCATACACACTCTAAATGGTTTTGATCATCAAAGCTTTCTTCTCTTCACTCTTTTTCAAAAATTTAGGTGAGGTTCTAGTTTTTCCCCATGTACAGTTTCTCCAATCTTTGTTTTTCCCTTAGGGGTACCTTTTGGCATTCAGTTTGCCCCTCTGACCTGCTGTCCTCCTATTGCCATGTAGTAATATACACGTAGTGGCCAGATTATTATGACCACCTGACGTTTGTAGGCAAATTAGCTATAATTTCACGCAGAAGTTGCTAGAGGGCCAGACCATTATAAATAGGGAAGCAGGTTGTTTACCACGACAGTAGAAGTGATTTATTTCTGAAGATACGGGTAAACAACGCGACTTAACAGCCTTTGAACGTGGCATGATTGTTGGCGCTCGGAGCCATGGAGCGAGTATCAGCAAAACAGCAGAATTCGTTAAATGTTCAAGAGCAGCTGTTGTTAAAGTGTTTAAAGACTGGACTGTCAGCAGAAAATCTGGGTCTGAACGTGCGAATTGTGGCCGCCAGCGACTAGTCAATGTTAGGGCAGAATGGAGAGTGGCAAGACTGGTACAAGACAACAGAAGGGCAACAGTGCAGTGTCAGATTCCTCGCATCACCTTTCAACATCTCGTGGAGTCACGAGGCGGCCCAACGAAGTCATCTCATGGAGTCATCTCGTGGCCCGACGAAGTACTGATGGGGTGGTCATAATAATCTGGCCACTCAGTGTATGTTGGCAAGCTTAGGAGTCTTGGTTACAAGTGCAAAGGTTGTCGGTAAAGTACATATAAATCACTGCTTTTTAAATGTTATTGCTTGGACATGCCCTGTTTTGTCATTTTGGAGTCTGGCTTAAACATAGATGCCCAGAGAGGGGATAGCATTTCATATACCATACCTGCCAAATAACTGCTTCTACATGCACATATATCTGAATCATTTCTGTGCAGCCTTTTCAGTATTTCAGGCCCGGGGGTGTTATTACAAACACCAATGTGTCTCAGTTTCCATACAAGTCTCTTAGATGAGGTTTTGTTTTATAGTTTTAACTTTCTGTTTCTTGCAAATAAGGACATGCTGAAAATGAAATACTGGCCACAAGAATTTATATGTTTAACTAAAACTTGCTGCAAGATAAATATGCCATTGCTCATTTCTTCTGGTAATTAGCCAGTTATCCTGCTGCCATGTGATGCTCTGCCCTTCTCTAAATTTTCTCAAAATGTATTTGCTGCATACGGTATGTGTTTTGGATAGGGATGCAACGATACCAGTATCGGAGCCGATAGTGGGCATTTTCACTCGTACTCATGAAAATGCGCCGATACGGGTGCTTTAAATTTATAAATAGATTTGGCTGCCGTAAAGCCCCGCGCTTGCTGGGGACCTCACGGCAGCCTTGTGGGGACTTCACAGTGGCTGATTACAGTGCCAGTCCAGACCCACATCTCTTCCTTCCCACCACCCTCACAGCCATGGTGAGACCCGCTGCCCGCACCCGGTGGTATTCTGCATTGCTTTTATAATGGGTTGCTGGGATTTTTAGTCCTCTAGCTGGTGGTATTCTGCATTGCTGTATAAAGGATTGCTGAGATTTGTAGTTCCTGAACAGCCAGGAGTCAGTGGCAGAACTACCAGGGTGGCTGCTTATGCCGCTGTGACTGAGCCCTGGTGCTCCACCACTGTCCGAAAATCCATTAGTCTGTAATGTTTCATAAAAATTGTCACTTGACACAAATAAAATGTATCGATAATTTGGTATCAGCGAAAAAGTATCAGTACTTGGTGTGGAAAAAATATCAGTGCATCCCTAGTTTTGGATTAGACATTCAGAAAGTATTGATTGCACAGACTACTAAGTGACAATTTTCAGAAGCTCAGCAATGAGTGTACATAATTCTCACAGGGCAAAGGTACTTTACAGCAGGAGTAGGCAAACTACAGCCCTCCAGCTGTGCTGCAGCTACAAATCCCATGAGGCATTGCAAGACTCTGACAGTCACAATCATGACTCCCAGAGGTTTCACCACAGCTGGAGAGCCGGAGTTTGCCTACCCCTGATTCACAGTGCATCTCTAATTGTGGATAGCGCAAGGAATGGTTTAACCCCCTGTTGGCTTTCTTTCTTTTTTTCCTCTCTGCCTGGGCCCTATTGAGATTTCCTCCTCCATGACTGGAGACATTGCAAGCAGTAAGAGGAAATTTCTCCAAAGTAATGGGACAGCTAACAGTTGTCACTGAAATCGGTGTCCCAATTGGAAGAAATTTCCCTCACCCCCTTGTTTTGGTGACAAGTATAACAGTTTGAATTCCCATCACTTTCTGTCCAAATCAACACATTCTCTAGGACAAATCGAGAGGGTGAATCTTCCCTGTGGCGAAATAGATTGTAGTAAAAATACCTAACAGGTACTTCTAACCTTTTCATACTCAAACAAAAAAAAGTATTTGCTGGACCTACATTTTAATTGTGGGTTAACACATTAAAGCAGAAGGAGAGTATCTTAAAAAAAATAAAAAGTACCCCCAGGACCTTTTTAGCTATATATTCCTGTTATGCAGAGCATATTAGTACATTATGGCAGACTTACCTGCCAAAGCGATCCCCTCCTGCTCTGCGCTCCTCCTTTGCTGGCGCTGCCATCTTCTTTTGGGTTTCAAGTTTGCAGCTGCTTGATTGGATGGGCCCCCTATGATGTAACTTCCACGCATGCACATGGGAGGTACTTCGTCTTGGCATGCCAAGCCTTTTGCTCTGAGCTGCGCATGCGCGGTTCAGCGTCCAGTGAAAAAACAATTGCTGACAAATATGGCAGAAGAGACTTGTACATTCTCTTCAGCTATAGAAATTATTTATTTTTTATAAACTTAGCTTCCACGTAAGATTAAAAGCATCCACAGTGATGTCATGCCCCACTTTTGAGGTTACATATCCATCATGACTAAGCCATACTTAGGAAGTCATCACACCTCTTATAGTAACTGACAAACAGTGCTCCCTGGGGTGTCAAGGTGATACAGGGAGAAAAAAACGCAGAAGGAGCAATGGAGACAGTCATACTGTTTTATCAACCCTAGTTAAATAATTTAACAAGAACATTTGAAACTAGTCATGCTGTAGTGTTTTATTTTATCAGGTTAATGCATGGGTGATAAAAAAGATACGGCGTTAGAGCTTGTTTATTAGATAGGGATGTGCAGCAGTATGAATGGCCTGAGGATTGTTGGCAGGAGAAGCGAGGATGTTTCATGAGGGTTGCAGACTTGGCAACTTTGGAAAGCTGCTTCCTTTTAATTTAGGAATGTATTTCCTGATATGGACAATATGCCTGAGTTCTGCTTTCTTTCTATAATGGTGAATATGGAGCCAGATCTTATTCTAAAAATGCTTATTTCCAAGCAATGTTTATGGTTATTTCAATAGTAAATTGTAAATCTTATTTATGATAAAAATGGTGTGTTTGTCATTTCTTTTCATGTTGTATGGAACTGTTTTATCACCAAAAGAGTGATAAAACTCAGAGGTTTATCAGGCAGTTAAACTATGTCTTCAGGAAATAGCAAAGCTGGATATAAGTGAGGTCTGCACGCAAAGCCTGGCGCACCCCAAGTAAAATCTAAAGCTGTTACAGTCTCACTATGCAATCTCTGTATTGATTAAACGTCGACAGTGTTGTTTTTTTACCCATGAAAATAGAAACGTGTAAATACAGAGTCTTAGGCCCCATTCGCACTTTCCCTAACCAAGTGGAGGGAAATGTTGTGGTACTGAACTCTGTTGTGTATTTTATTGCTGCAGCATGCCATTTAATGTAATTCTCTCTTCTCTCTCCCTCCCCTCTTTCTTTAGTTTTTTTTATTAAATAGAAACATGGTACTAAAAGGAAACTGCTTTACTCCTGAAGGGGAATTTTGACTGATCACCACAGATTTTAATAAAGCGAAACATTGATCGGAACCTTGAAGAATGGCAGCTGGTCCACCTCAAAGTGGAGGAGCTGCAGGGCCATTAGGACCTCCTGCGATGGCTAGCCAGTGGAACCCTGCATCCTATGCTGTAGCTGTTTGGGAATGGCAAGATGAACTTGGCAAGTGGAGGCCGTACAGCAGTAAAGTGAGCACTTATATAGAGCAATGTATGCAATCTTATCAGCAGCAGAAGAATACTCGGGCTCTTGCAAACAGTAGGAGTATCTCCCTTGGACAAGTTGACCCTAAATTAGCTCCGTACGTAATAGACATTGCAACGCTGGCACAGTTTCGACAAGACACAGGTGAGTCTATGGCATTTAATTTTACTGTTAATTTTGTTAGATTTGTGATGATTGTGTTACTTATTGGTATGTATTTTGTCGTTGGCGATCCTTTAAACAAACCTTTACTTTTCCCATAGAGAGGGAGGCCACTGCCTTACCTTAATGCCATTCCCTTTGCTGCCCCAACACTCGATTCAACCATCAAAGAAGCTTGCATGTAACCCCTTCCTTACACCTGGCAACTGAATGGAGTTTTGGTGGAGTGAAAGAAATGGTGACTATTAGCTGCTGCTTGGGAGAATATTAAACTTAACCTGTTGGTTTGCCCAGCACAGGGTGTCAGAGGATAATTAAGTGATGGCAGATCTCCCCCTTGGGGACAGAGAGAGAGCAACATTTCTTTCATTTTTGATGACGTGTTAAAGATTTAAACTTGCATGTGATTTGTATTGCTATGTCTTCCTATCTTGAAGTCACCTGTTCCCATTTTTTTCATGTCCTGGTATCACAGGGACAGGAGAAGAGGTGAAATCTCTCAATGTGATAGCACACAGCAAATGGGCAATTTTAACCATTACCTACTGCAAGGCTCAAAATTTCAGCCCCTGAGCTACTAGCCAGGCCTTAAGAGTTACTCGCCACCAGTTCACCCCCCACTTGTCCTGCCGGCGGCTCCCCCTCCCCAGATGAATTTCCACTAGCCATCACGCAATGTTCACTCGCCAATTGCGAGTGGAAATTTTGAGCCCTGCCTACTGTATCTTAAACAAACATAAAAGTGTCTGGAACTGGGGTTTATTGGCATGTATTGGGGTAGATTATAGCAGTAGCAAGGGAATTGATTACTCGGTTGACTCAGTAGTTGGGATTTTGAAGAAAAACACTTTGCAGACAAAAAGTGCAGCTTTTAGAACATTGCAGCTCCAGTGCATTAGAGGGATTGGCACTGGCTAATTCTAATAGTTGTTACATAGTATATACAGAACAGCCTTGTAACCTGAAACACGGATACACTGTGTGAATAGTTCCAGTAGCCATGTTCACCCAAGGTACATGCTTTCTTTTGGAAGAGGGCTGAGTTTTTTTGGGGTTCTTTTTCTCTGCGTAGTAAAATAGCTGTATGCCCTCCCCTTGACCTAATCTTATGTTACTCAATATTTTAGTTGGGAATACCGCACCCGTGTTTTACTAAATTACATGTTTTTGTGTTGTTTGAGCTATTAAATTCACATAAAAAAAGGGAAATGATTATGTACATGGGGAAAGGGTGGGGGTGTCGGTTATGTCTAATTCTTTTGTGTGGAAATGTATAGTATGAGACGTAGGTTCATTTGAGATATATTCAAAGTAGGGTTCTGGAGGCGGCTTAGGGGAGGATGGGGAAAGCAGTATGTCGGAATTACTTAGGCAGTGTTTAAGAATGTAAAAAGTTAAATTGTGTGTGTGTTCATGTGCACTCGCTGTGGGGGTAGTTGGCTGTGGTGTATCTGGGCATGAGCAGGTGTACGGTTTGGTGATTCACCTGTTAACTTAGGGATTTGCTATTCAATATCCTGCCAGAATCTTTGTATAGTCAGACAGGTCAACCACATGTCAAAAGGAGGAGGAAACCTTAATTTACAATGCCAGCAAAGGTTGTGACCACGGGTGAAAAGTTTGTGTGGTAGTTGGTACCATCCAAATTCTTAGGGTTTGGGTTTCATTCCCATTTGATGCATACATGTTTTATTTCTGCATTTGTGGGACCCAGCATGATTTGATAGAGGGTATAAATGACATGCCACAGTGGAGAATCCAAGGTGCAAAGTTTTACTGGGGCTGTAAATTCTCTGCCATATATATGACATTCGGAAGAATTATTAAGAAAATATCTAAGCTTCAGGTTGGACCATAGTGATAATTCTTGAGAATCTAAAGCATCAATAAGGGATTGTCATGAAAGATGCCACGGAGGAAAAATGTTGTGCAGTCAAGTTCTAGTGTGGTTATCAATTTTTCAAAAAGAGGAGAGACATTCCTGGAGGGAATTCAGGGCTGTTCCAGGGGTTGGGGTTGAAGACCATGGATTTGAGGAGAGGTTATGGTGTCTACAAAGTTTGCAAAATGTCTTGAGTGTATTGGCAATAAGCAAATGTTCTTGTAATCGGTTTCGTATGAGTTTCTGATAGATCAAAGGGTAAAAGGTTAGCAGACGTTTTGGAGAACAAACGCTTTAAAATCAGCCTTGCCTTAAATAAAAGTGTGTGTATTTAAGTGAAATGAACCAGTCAGAACCTGTGCACTATGTAAAGCGCTGCGTAAATTGTCGGCACTATATAAATACCTGTAATAAATAATGTACAGCACAGTGTACCTTGTGGGGCAGGATAGAATGCTTAGTGAAGTAATGTGCAGTAAATGCTTAGTGAAGGAATACACACTACAGTGAACCAAGTGGAGCTGTGGACTGTGTAGCATACAGAAAAGAACAGTATACAGGTGCATTGAATAGTGCAATGTGGAGTATAGAATGTATTGCACAGTGTGAAGAGTTGATTAGAGTGGCATGCATGACATTTGATTAGATTTTTTCTACTGTGTGTCAAGGGGGGTAGTCCAGCAACTCATTAAAAACAAAATCTGCTTTTTCCTGTACATAGCTTGGGTTTTTCTTGACTTATTGCATGCATGACTGATTGAGCTTCTTAGCCCTTGGCTTCTTTCTGCCAGTAACCTCCTTTTCTTTATAGGTGTCTATTCATTGTGTTTCACATTACCAGTGGTGAGTTTAACTGCGCAAACACTGTGGTCTCTATTTCTCTTTCTCTCTCTCTCTCTCACTCTCTTACACACATCTATAGACTCAAATTCCACTGAACATAGCTGAACTGTTCTGTCTTGATAATAATGGGGAATTCCTGTCTATATAAAATAGAAAAACAAGTTAAGTCCTATCTCCGAACTACCTATGGGGCAATATGTGCAGTAAGCTTGATCCTTGGAAAACTTTTTTTTGTCAAGCTGGCCATACACTTCGCGTTTTTTCTCCCCCCATTGAGCCCTGTGGTATGGTGCTAGCAGGGCAACTAATCGCCCTAATTTCAGCTGGGTCAGCAAGGCTCAACCAATATTTGAGCAGTGTATGGCCTGCTTTAGACAGAATACTGTCAGTTTACAACTATGCTTATGTACCTGCTTTTCAACAAGGTGACATTTTTATTTTGCCTCATTTATTCAGTTTTACACCTTTTAAATATTAGAGGATGCACATGGTAGTAAGTGTCTTTCAAATTAAACTGATAGGACAGATTTGGGGACAATCCTGCCTTCTCCAAACTCTTTACCCTTTTGTGAATAACCCTGTAAGTGTTCTGTCTTTCACTGTTTTTACTCTGAGTCTGAAGTTCTCTATCCCGATTTTTAATGGCTCAATCCTGCCCCAGTAGTTAAAATGGAACTAAATTCCTCAGGTTTGGGGTGAGCACTCACAATCATACTTGCACATTATCACACACATTCCTCCCAGTTTGCTCTCTTCCAGTGGTGACTGGTCCAGACTCTAGTCACTGCTTTTGGACTCTTCTTCTGGGTCCCACCACAATGAGCACCTGGCACGGTTTGTTTTTTTTCCTCATGTCTCCTTTGCAAATCTAGCTCCTTGCAGATTTTTTACTGCAGGACTTTAGTTCCACTTTGAGCTTTGCACATTTCCTACTCATCATATCAGTACACTTAATGATCATAGAGACCTATTCAATAGACGGTGGATGGGCATAGTTTGGCATTGGGGGCTCCGCTCAATCCCTGGTTCAGGGAAATCGGGTGAAACCAGGATTAAAGGAGTGCACAGAGGAGGCTTTTGAGCCAAAAATGGCTAATAGCAGGCTTCTTGTGGTGAATGCTCTCAGACAATTTTTTTTATATCTATTTTAGAAGATTTAAATGGTTGAATTAAAATATATTATTGCAACACAAGTTTTTTCAGTATTCATCGCTGAGGTACTTTTGCTGACATGCAGTCCTACAATGCTGTACAGAAATTAATTTCATACAATTTTTTTGGGGATACATAGATCTTTCTTTTGGTGGTATTTAATCACCACTAAGGTTTTAATTTTTTACTATATAACAAAAAAGTTTGGAAAAAAAAAGTTTTTCCTACATCATGTTATGAAACATATATTATTACCCCAATTTATTGGTAAAATATAAAAGATGTAGCTCACGGTATACTGAGCTTAGGGTAACGGGAGGACGCTAGTTTGTGTCCTCCCGCTACCCTAAGGAGAACTATGGGGAAAAACACTGACCCCATAGTTCTCCTTTTAACAAATGGAATTCTCACTTTAAGCAATGCTACTGATTTTTTTTTTGTATAGATAAAATCATTTTGATTCCTCTTTCCACCCAGAGCCTTTTCTGTTTTGAGTGTACAAGCAAGGGTTAGGAGTAGGACTGAAAGGGAAAACTGGGTGTGCATTGTCTGTTTTTCTTGTCCATCGACATGGCTTCCATTACTTGGAATTTGATCCTTTAGTTGGGCGTTGTTCACTGCAAATCCCAAGGGACTTTCTGGTATTTTCATCTTCTCTTAAAAGGAATTATGACATGTATATGTCTGGATAGAAACATACCAAGCTACTGCAGAAGTAGTGAAACCCCATCCCAGCACAGAAAACACCTATGATTAACAGACTGTTCTACATTAAATGATACCCATTTATAAAAATAAAAAAAAGTTTACGAAGTGTGGATCAGTTTATACCCCTTGTCCTTTTCTTACAAGTCCACCCAGTTGTGTGTTAGGCCTCATTCACACACAACGCAAGAGCAAAATTGTATATTGCGTATATGTACGTACGTCCGTATATGCGTGAACTATATGCAATCCCAGAATGCATCATTCGTAATCGAAATTCGAATGAACTGTACGTGCGTATTCGCGCACAAACACGCAGAAATACGCTGCCCAGAGGCATCTCGGTTCCATTTCTGTTTTTACGCTACGCAAATATACGCCTCCATATGCAGCTATGTGT